GTCAGCTTTTACTTGTTGCATCCTGACAATCATTTCTTTTATGTACTGAGAAGTCTAAAATATCTGTGTCAAGTATCCCCTTTGTTTGTCTTTGAATGTATTTCCTCTAATGGGCCACGTTGTTACTCAGCCTGTCGGAGTTGAACGTCATTTTCTGTGTTCATTCATCAGGAACCTCAATCCAGAGACGGAGCTGAAGAGATATTTTGGGGCTCGAGCTGTTCTCGGAGATCAAAGGTAAAAAGAAGAAAAAAACCAAGATTGTTTGGCTTTAAATTGCCCGTGCCATCTGTATGTAGACATTATATTTTTGCTCTTTTTTCGTTTTGTCAGGCCTCGACAAAGAAACAGGCAGTTCCACCGCAGCACGTGGATGACCAGTCCCAAGGACAGCTGGCCTCGCTTCAGCCGCCCAGGTAGACGTTCACACAGTGTGCAGAATGTCGTGCTGCATTATTTGCTCATAAATCCAGGATGAAAGTAACGGTCAGCTGTAATGACTTCATCTTTGTTTACATCATGACCGCGTCACACAAATAATAGAACAAGACAGTTTGAAAGCGCCTCACTCCTCTTCGTCTCTTGATATGTTCTTTAAAATGAAAACACACTGGGTTTGTCATGGTCCTGTGGTTATTTGGTTTTAAGATTCATTTGCATAAAATTACACTCATTACAAGCCACTTCCAATGTGAACGTTTTTAATGACAGATTGATGCAAATAAAGTCTTAATTGTCCCATGAGGGATGAGGAAACTTGTATTTACAATCACAACAGTAAGCACAAAACAATATATTTAGTAATGTTACATTTTTGTACAAGTTAAGCCTCTTAAATGTGAAATTTTATTAACTTTTTGAGATATTCTGTTATCCCGCGACCCTAGTGAGGATTAAGCGGTGTATAGATAATGGATGGATGGATGGATGTGTTCTGTTATCCAATGCCTAAGCACTCAAATGCTTTGTCATCTTGTCGTCCCACAAAAGCACAACAAATGATCAGTAGTGAGATCCTTAAACTATTTTAGGAATAAAAGATGTTCTCAGGCTTTGCAGCATGTTATCGGCTGAACGTTGCTTGTGATACTGACGTGATCGTTAAGACTGCCTCATTGTGAGCACGCTGAAAGTCTCCATTGATGTATTGTGTAATCACTCAGTTCGATGTTCATGCCGTGGTGAGATTTATAATTTATTTCCAAATTCAGGCGGCTATTAAATTTACAAACCCTGCCTCGGCAGTAAACAAAGTACAGCGTCTCAGGCATTTGTTGATTCGTTAAGCGTGTTCCCGCTCATTAATCAGGCCAAAAATATTATTTTCATGGAATTCATAAATGGCTCTTTCAACACAGTTGGCGTCACCATGTAACATTTTAGCACCGTTACATCACCGTTGAAATCTCAATGATACGCCACAGCAGCTATTTTAGCAGAGTCATTACATTTTGTGAGCAGCCGGGATGCTGAAGATCTGTGGCACAAGTCATATGACTGTCTCTCACCACATGTTCCCAGTCTGCCTCCTCACTGGCAACTGTTCAGTGTAAAATATGCCACTTAAGATAAGTTTTGTTGGAGACAAAATGCAAACAGTAAACAAACAGTCATGTTAAGAAAAAAATATATCTATATTTAAAATCATAGTCATGTGTGATAAAAAAACATGTTGTTTATAATAAATTTATTTACTAGACTTTT